TGCTAACCCCTTCATTTTTTTTTTTTTTTTTTTTTTGTACTTTCAGTTCACTTCCTTAAAGTTGGTGCATTAAAAATTGAAAACATAAAAGCACGGTGATTCATTTCTGCAAAAAGGAGTGGAAGGCAAAGATCCGTTTTGAAGAGTGATAAACAAATCAACTTGAAAAGTCAAAACACAGAAAGTGCATACAAATTTGCAAAGATGAAAAAATCGGAAAAGATTTACTTAAAAAACATAGAAAATTGCAGTGTGGGTCATGGTCATATCAGTACGAGTATGTTAATTTGATTGTTGACCAACGAGAAGTTTTCTTGGGTGACTTTTATGACAATCAGGAGTGGCTACTCGAGAATGCTACTCTGCACAACGGTAACGTACAAGTCGCTGCTCCTAAGTTAAATTGAATACTACCGATTATACAAAACGTTTTGGCCGGAAATAACAGGTCAATGAGTGGTAATCAAGCTGTTGTTGTGCTCTTGGCCATTCGTGATCATGAGAGTTTGCACAGAATGATGGATCCACAAATGACGGACGCAGCAGTGCATGCAGAGTGGTAGCATCTCGTAATTTTTGTTGAATCTGTCAACTTCCACTGGTGTCTCTTTCTTCTCTATCACATCGGCTAAGACGTGTTTTGATCCCCTGGCACAAGCCACTACCAACCTACGATTGAATTGACTGAAGGGGTCGTAGATGGATTTGCTGCTCCACAGGCGGAGTCAAACGCTCGACCAACAGCGCTAATTTCCATGGCATCATGTCCGCAATTTCCTATTATTTTTTACACATAAGAGTAAATTAACTTAAAACATTATTAGAAACTGTGAAGCAAAATTCAGTTGAAAAAAACGACAGTGAGGGCACATAAGACAGTAGTTTCCGTGCTGAGATCCGTCACCAAATGGCAGAAGGAAGCGGGAAGGAGCTGGTACAAGTGCTCTTCAGTGCCCTATGGACTGAGATCATGACATCACTTTTGCGTTTTGAGAGATTAACCATCCAAAAGCTCCTTAGTAAAAAAAACCTGAAAATTGCAGCACTTTAAATGTTTTTTAAACATTTCTAAAAAGTACATAACTCAAAGTTGTACTGGCGTCCGACGGAGGCCAGTAAGACTTAAATGAAATTTACAGTTCACAGTAGGTGCTCTCCGGCAAAAAATCAGTGAAAGTCCAAACTACAAATCCTAACTCGGCAGCCAGACAAGCAAGAATACTGGATTTTTACAAACGTGATTACCGACCAATTCCCATTTTAAATTATATGAACCAGCTTTCAGAGCCTTTTGAATCTCATGCACGTGCAGCCGCATGAAATTTAAAATAACATAATTCTTCAGCCGAGCAACCATACGAGCTAGAATAATGAAATTTGCTGCTTGACCAGCTGAGGCCCTAAAAGCAAGAATTTAACTTCTACGCATGTGTTTGTCATGTACACACATGCGAAATTATAAAGTGTAAAATTGCCCGTGTTCATTTCGCTTCTGCATAAAAGCATGAGTTCACTCCGTTTGACCGGTACGAAGACTTTATTATTTAGATTTCTTGCCTTTCGAGCTAAATGCATTGCATTAGCTGCATTTTCAAGTGACTTTTTTGAAAAGCATAAATTTTATTTAATTTTTCCTCAGAGTGTAAAAAAAATATCAATTTTGCTAGAGCAGTCTTTGCAGTAATATCACTATTGGTATGATCTGTAAATTGAATACAGTGTCTGGATCTCAGACAAGAACTTAATTTTCCCAGTGGGTGCTTTTCGGAAGAATTAAAAGCTGTTAGAAATTAATATCGCATTGAAAGTTCTATACTTCGAGTCCGAGCACCTTTGATAATTTCTAAAATAGCAAGTAGCTATTCACCCATCATTTTATCTGCTGAAAAAAATAAATGAAAAACAGTAAATAAATAGATGTACTTTCTGCGTCCAGAAGGTGCGTGATAGTAGCATGAATTACAGGTACAGTGGAGTATCTTTATCACGAATCCTTTTCATCCGTTTATATGATTTTAATCCTCCGAAGACAATCGTTTTATTATGTTTTCAATTTTGTTTTCCCGACAACGCTGGTAAGCGCATTTTCAAGATAATGCGTACACGTGAAAACTTGTTTTGTAAGAAAACAAATTATTTCGGGTGTTTTTAAAATCTCCGAGTAACTCACACTTAGAATTTGTGACAATAAAAAAAACTCCTAGGCCGTAATATTTGTCCAACAGCGTTAATTCAGGAAACTCCGCGATGTAACACTGGCAGCGAAGCACTATGGTTTTTCAGTGCTTGCTGTTAAAGCTGCTCTAGCATATTTTTAGCCAAAGATTTTCTTTGTTAAGGTAAGCCTGGTAGCAGTTATCGGATTTCATGCTCCAATAAACGCAACCGGTAGGCGAGAAAGCAAATTTCGCTTGGGAATTATGACGCTGCTGAGCATGTCCGTGATGTTGCTCATGCTCGTTGACGAAATGAAATTTGCACTGGAATCAATTCCTGGTCAGAGGGGCTCATTTTCCGATGTGCCTTTGCTTGGTTTGGTTTCCTTTTTTATCCGTTTTAACAGCTATGCAATGCAGAAAGCGCATATTGACGAAGAGGTTGTCTGTGTGTGTGTGTGTGTGTGTGTGTCTGTGTGTCTGTGTGTTCGTTTGTACCAATTTTTCATCTCGAGACCGGCAAAAGCCATAAGGTTGAAACTTTGGGGACATAATCTATATGCGCGTACGAGCCTCCATCCTCGAAATGGGCGATCTTACCCGTGTGGTATCCACGTAAGAGCCCGCCAAAATTCTTCTCGGGTAATTTGATAACTCGCGAATCAGAAAAGCTAGAAGGCTGAAATTTTAAGGGGATGTTCCACACCCAAGTATGTATTGATGAGCTGAAACCCAGCCCGTGGATAAACGTGGTACCCGCGTACGAGCCCGCCAAAATTTTTTTCGGGTAAGTTCATAACTCGGGATCTGAGAAGCTAGA